CCAGATCCCCTTGCTAGATTCTGTCTGCACTAGTCTTCAGGTCCTCAGGGATATCACTCACCCAAACACTTTAAAGGTGTCTTTTTTAAAATATTGCTGCTGGTCATTGATTCAGAGCTCACTTTTCAGATTGCAATAATTGAGATTGGAAGATGACAGAAAATACTAGATTTGAGGTTAGAATGACTATGTTTAAATCATAGGAGTCCACAAAGGGAGAAGTCAGTATGCTTTGAGGACTTCCTAAAATTCATAGAATTTGGGGAGGTCAGGGCATGCATGACAAGAGACTGAAATAAACAGGGCAATGGCTAAAACGGTGAAGGGACTCACCTGATAGCCTTCTGGGGAACAATGAAAGCTTGAATTAAACAAGCAAGGCAAAGTGAAAGTAAAGGCTTTGTAAAGCAAGACAAGAGTTTGCATTTGATTCAACAGACACCACTGAGCCTTTGAAAAACACTTTTAAATTTCTCTAAGGGCATGCCAACGGGTTAGAAATGTTTGGATTGGTGAGAAAAGCAAGATTAGAGGAAGAATAATGAGAAAATGAATAGAGGACATGAATTATTTACCTGTTAGAGATATATACTTAGATTGTGTAATGGGTGGAGCAGACTTTAATTTATTCTGGAAAAAAATATGGGGCGCCAAGAGTGTCAAAATGCTTATACTTGATGAAGCTTTGTGATAGGTACATGAGTGTTCAATACTTTATTCTTTTTTTGTGCGTGTGGGTTTGAATGTTTCCATAATAAAAAGTTGGTTTTGGGCCAGGGATTTAGCTCAGTTGTTCCGCCACCTGCCTCGCAAGCGCAAGTTCCCAAGTTCAAGCCCTGGTACCAAAAAAAAATTTTTTAAGTTTTCTAGAAATCTTTTGGGTAAAGATCCTATCCAAATATTTGTTTTCTCCAGTGATGTATATTATCTTTTTTTGTTGTTGGGTTTTTAGGGTTTTTTGGTTTAACTCAGGACCTTGCGCTTGCAAGGCAGGCATGGTGCCACTGAGCTAAATCCCCCAGCCTTGTTGTTTTTGAGACAGTCTTGCTATGTAGTCCAGGGTGGTCTTGAATTAGTGGCGATCCTCCTGCTTCAGCTACGAGTACTGAGTTTACAGGCGTGCACCACCATGCCCAGACCAAGTGATGTATTTTAAATATGCTTTAAATACACATAGGAAGTTATACCACAGAAAATCGCTATCCCAAAGTTGTGTAATCTTACTTTAATGTCTTCCAGAGCCTAAAAGGAGATTTAGAAAATAAGTTCTAGAAGGACTATTTCTTGGGAACAAAATGAAGAGATAGCCTTTTTAAAACAAATGAAAACAGTATCCAAAGTTAAAACATTCGGAGCCAATTTGAAAAGGCAGGCTTTCAGTGGACAGGTTACCTGTAAGACAAATGGAAGCTGAAAAGGAAGAGCGGTTCAACTCCAGAGCAGTAAACACATAGTCTATGAAGGCAAATAAGGAGTTACTATTAGCACTTGAAATTAAATTCCTTCATGACAAACATTTGTTTGCAAATAGGAAGAGCAGGAAATATAGATTTAAGATACAATAGTAAAATAAGTAGTGCTTTCAAACCTGGGCGTCAAATCAATCAAGCTAAGGAATCCACTATTGTTTCACAGTCTGAAATGTGTTCTTTTTGTCAAACCAAAAGGGTACACTATATGCTGCTTAACAATAAATAGCTGTTGGATACTACTACCAAATTCAGAATCTTGTAATTTAAAAGAAAATAATATCCAGACCTAAAATAGTAAATGTCAATGTAGTTTTTGCAAAGTGCAATCACTGCTTGTTATCTAAACCCTTCAATTTCAAATATTCAGTTTCCACTGAGTACCTACCTAGTCTACTATTATCTTACAGGGTCTGATACTCGAAAGTGTAAGATAGGTGCTTAATTTGTGAGGGGGTTGCTTCTCACATGGGTGCCTCCAGGTAGTGTGCTACAAGGTGACTAAGCAACACATTTATTCATGTGTATACCAGAGATAAGAATAATGCTAATCAAAGAAGGTGGGGTTTTTTAAATTTAACATAAAGCTTTTAATCATTACAATATTTTTAAATTACAAATCAGAAATTACTTTTAATTGTTTCTCCTAAAATTTGTTTATAAATGTACATGAATCTCCTGGTCAATGCCAAGTATTACAGCTAATATATGAAATGAAGATATTAAACCATGTGTTAGATCAATAATTATGCATAAAAGGTTTTACAGATTCTGAAGACTGTAAGATTGCTACCCAAAAATTCATCTTGTAAGTTCTAGATATCTGTTGTACAATTTTATGCCTTTAGTTATAATACTGTATAGTACATATGATAATTTTAAGAGAATAGATCTCAAGTATTTTTATCATCATAAAATGACCTTTTTAGAAACTTGCAACTTTAATTTATTCTTTTTTAAGAGAAATAATGGTTGCATACAAGATTATAAACCCCTTTCCTGGTATTGTGGGTTAAATGGTGAAGCCAAAAAGATATTTCCAACATCAAAATCCTAGAACTTGTGAATTTGACCTTATTTGGAAAAAGGATCTTCACACATGTAATTAATAACCTTGAGATAAGGTAATCCTGGATTATTTAGATAAGCCTAAATCCACTGACAAGTGTCCTAAGAGATGTACAAAGGAGAGACACAGGAAAAAAAGATGGAAGCAGAGATTGTAGTTATACTGTCACAATGCAAGGAACATCCGGAGTCATCAGAAGCTGGAATAGGTAAAGAGATGTCCCTTATAGCCTTTAGAGGAGTGTGGTCTTGCTAACACCCTGATTTTAGTTATGGGTTCAGGATCTGTAAGAGAATGAATTTTTCTTGTTTAAGATACCAAGTTTGTGATTATTTATTACCCAGACTCAGCAGATTAATACACCTGGGGAACTTAGAAACCAGAATGATCTTAGAAAAATGTCTTCTGAAACCATAAAAATAGACTAGATGGCTCATTATTTCATCTTCAAAGCTACTGTCTATACCCCAGGATCCGTGTGCCTAACACACTTTAGGCATTAATCAGTTGCTACATCATCCCCTGGGGCATGCCAGCAACCCATTCTGTCACTAAAAAGTGGCTACTGCCCAAATACAGCTACTCTTTGAAGCCCACATTTCCCAATTAATTTAGACTAAACTCTGCCCCAGAATTGTAACTAGGGCATGTCATTTGCACCGTTCTGTTTATCATCAGGTTATATTTGCAAAGCAAATTAACTCTTAAGATTTTACTTATATAAAAAATTTTACTTGATTGCACAGAAATTGAACTACAGATTCTTAGCCTAGGAGTCAGTCTTCTGGGTCTGTGAAGCCCCTGATATTGCATACCACATTTCTATATATACTATATGAGGTGTGATCACAATATACAGTGAATGTACAAATTTTTAAATATTACAGGAAAAGACACATTGTCATTAATCCCCCTCAAGATACTCCCCTTGGCTTTGAACACTTTTCATCATTCTTGTCACTTCCTGAGGAATTCTGGAGATCCTCTTTTGTGTCTTTACAAGGTGTGATAAAAAATTCAGTGAATGCTGCTGCTAAATACCATCCAGTGGAAAAAGGTAAGCTTGTAAAAATATTAGTGTGGCCTCATTCACCTTATTCACCAGATCTGTCACTTTGAGTGACTTCTGGCTCTTCACTAGTCAAAAAGACAGTAAAAGGTAAATGTTTTGGATTCAGGACATTGAGGCAGCCCTAAGGAGTGCAACTAAAGGCACTCAGGAAAGAGGACTTCCAGAGCTGCTTCAGAAAGTGGCAAGAATTGATAGGATAGAATTGATAGAAGGGAAAGTTATTTTGAGGGGAGTTCATTGCAATGTCTCTTACTGTAATAAATTTTTAATTTAAACATTCCTTTTTTTTTTTAATGATAGCTTATATGCTTATTCAGTGGTGCCTCAGTTCACAAACAATTCTTTCCACGATTCTGGTCATTAACTGAATTGGACAAGAACCAAATCAAATTCAGTGTTTAGGGTCAATGTTGACCTTACAGGAAAATTTGATTCGGTTCTCATTCAGTTCAGTTTGCAACCAAAATCATGTAAAGAATAGTTTGTGGACCAACATACCACTTGTATGTTTTTCTAGGGAAAGAATTCATTACTTTCATCAGATTCTCAACAGCAATTTTAATAATTAGGCTTTGTGTGTAGTAATTGTAATGACTGACACTAAGATATGGATTTGTTCACACAGCTCGAAATGCTGTGTACAGAAAGAACATTACTGTTCCCGGATTTTCTCTCCAAACTGTTTTTCCTGTGGTTACTGCTCCCACTTAAGCTTTTTTTAGTGTATAAACTTTTTTTTAATATTATTTGTGCCTTTCTTTTTTTTGGTACCAGGGATCGAACTCAGGACCTTGCAATTGCAAGGCAGACAGAACCACTGAGTTAAATCCCCGGCTAATGTATAAACTTCTTAATGGTCAATAGTATATATTAAACTTACATAATATTTTCAGGACTTAAAAAAATCTCTTCTACTAATGAACTTATTAGCAAGTAGTTTTGATGTTAAATGTTACATACCTTCAGAAAAGATGCTCCCAAAAAATATAAATTAATATATTAAGTACCAACTCCCCATGATGAATGTATTCATTATGCATGGCAAACATGTACTAATGAAAAATAAAATATATTAAGTAATATAAAAATAATTATATTTGCCATTAAAAGTAATTTTTCTAACTACAGAAATAAAAGTAAGGCACAAAAAAAGAAAATGCTTACCCTTAAGATAAATTAGTATATTAATGTTTATTTAAAACTATGAGTTTTTTCACTGTGACTGGGCTGGTTTTCATCTCTCATATTTCTAGATACCAACTGTCTATATCAAATTTTTGTCCACAAGAAATACTGAGCTGGGTTGAACAATGTGATCAATCCAAAGGGTGTATCTGTTATCTTTTTAAAAAATACTTAGCTACAAAGATGATAACTCACTTATAAGACATCATTTTTTAAAAAATACTTTTAATTAATCATATTTATCATAATCAGTGTGCAATCAAGCCAAATATATTCCTTGGGGCATACCAGACATAAGCAAAACAATGTTAACAGAATTAACATTCAAAAAATAAAACATTTTTAAATGATAAGATGAACATCATGAAACATTACCATTAATTGACAACTGAAAATAGGAAGACATGTTTCAATATAAAGATAAAAAACAAAATTTCAAAAGAACTTATAAATTCTAGAAGGTAAGCAAGCCATAAAGAACTTCTCTTCAAAAACATGCAATAATCTACAACAATGTGTCTCATTTTAATCCATGAGAAGCATATTTTACAATTCAAACATACTGGTAGTTCTTTCAGCTAATTAGGGACCAAGTCCCCCTTTGCCATATCTACAGAGATTTTAGTTGGGTGATTACAAACTAATAGCTCCTTTATATGTGTACAATTTTAAAAAGTAGTGACAGTTCATTTCTTTACTATTTACTGATTTACACATTTCAAACGTCCATGTTATTGACCAAATATGTACAGTATTTTTAAAAACAAAAGTAACAACTCATACAGTTTGCAAAGGTCAAATCCTAACCAAGATGCCTTTTCATTTAGTCCAATGACTAGAAACTTGTCAATGTCAATAAGTGCCAGGCCAAAAGAACCCTAAGCCCTATATCCAGATTATTTTTTTCCCTTTCAAATGCTTTCATTTTTTCTTAAAGAAACATTTACTATTCTTCTGCTTTGCAACTGGCACTAGCTACATGAGCAATGCCCTTATACCACAAATCAAAGTCTTTTCCTATCCAAACACTACTGTTAATTTAAGGTAATTTTACCACGCATATCAAATTCAAATGTCTAGATCCCAAATACCTAGGTATGAAATATGCAAATCTGCCAAAAAAAATTAGACATATTTCTTTTCTTTTAATATAACCCACTATACAATAGTGAACTAAATATGTTTGTTTCATAGAAACAACTTACATTTGCCAGTACAAGGCAAATGGTCTATGTACAGATACATTAGGACTGCCTAACTGACAGTGAGGGTTGCCGACCAGGCTCCAAATCAATGGAGCTAATACAGTGCTGTTCTCTGCTGAATGGACTTTCCCTTCAGGATACGTCGGATCTGGAAGAGAAAGAAATAGGATTTGTAAGGTTGGATGATTGTTGTATTACTGGGAATTGAACCTAGAGCCTTTGCAATGAGCTACATCTCCAGCTCTTTTTTTTTTTCTAAGTTTTAAAACAGGGTCTTCCTAAGTCACTAAGTTGCCCAGGGTGCCCTTGAACTTGGGATCCTCCTGCCTCAGCCTCCCAGAGTGCTAGGATTCAGGCATATGCCATAACACCAAGCTTGTGAGGTTTATTTCTGATGGTCAAAGTGATATATTTCTTTCTGAGTTGCATTCCTTTCCTATATACAGCTGTGCTTTGGTTCAGAAACCTAATTTGTTCCATGATTCTGGAAAAGATGGCCACTTTTCCATATTTGGAAAAATAGCCATGGTCGTGTTTGTCACTCAATGCAAAATTTGCAAACAAAAGCAAAATTTTTCCAAATGCTTTTCTTTGCAAACCAAATTCTTTACAAGCAAAAGTACTCTATACACTGTACTCTACACCACTCCTACTAACCTATAAACATATAAATAACATGCAGGATATTTGTCAAGATTTAAATGACTTTTAAATACACTACAACTCCATTTAAAACTAATTTCAAGTCTTCAATTATGATCCTTGAGTGAAAGACAGTAAAACATTTCTATTAAAAATCATTTGAAGCTTGAAAATCTCCAACTATTTAGGGCCTCTATTCTTTTCCTAATCATTTGTTATTTGGAAGAATATTTATATAAGAAAGTAACGATGGCATATTGATTTTTATGGCCCATTCTGACAATTTTATTCTCTTTCTCTCAGACTACAACAGACTAAAAGTGACGATTTAAAAGAAAGAGGACTGGGGTAAAGGATACAACTACAGCTGCTAAAAAGCAGCACATCCATTCAGTGCAGGCTGACAATAAAAGCACAGGAAGAGATCCTGTCCCCTCAACACATACACAAGCAAAGAGGGGAGTAATGTAAGGACCTTTATTGAAGAAACAAATGGGCCTCCACACCTCATTGATCCCTGGGAGCACTGTGTTATTGCTGCCAACCACAAACAGTAAAGCAGAAGCAAACACTGGGCTTAGGACTCTGCCATCTATTAGTTAATGAAGACTTCTGTCCTTGAAACCTCTGTATCAATTTTCTGACAATTTACTACAAAATATGTTAACTATTAAGAGGTAAACTATCAAGAAACTTAAGTTGTAAAGAGCTTTACAAATAGGAGTTGCTATAACATTATGGTCATAGTGCAAGCTAGGAATCAAAGAAAAAGCTGAGCTGCATTCCAAATATTTTGTTAACTAGTAATGTAATGATCAAAGCCACAGTTACTCTGATTTCCCCCCCCCAACCCCAGGAAAAGATTTCTATCAAAAATATTTTAATTTCTTAAAGCTTAGTTCTTATTATCTAGCAAGTTCACATAAAATTATTCAATCCTCAGTGATAGCATATAACTACATTTGATTAATTTTAAGGTATAAAACACTCCTAAGTTCCAAATTACATACATAGCCTTTGCATTTCTAGTATAGTATCACTTAGTATAGTACACAGAAATAATTTTAACAGCTGATGTTTACAGAGCATTTACTATGTGCCTGGGACTTTTTGGAACATTCTCTAGATATTAACTCATCTAATACACACAATATTTTGAAGCCTCACGGCTTACAAAACTAAGATTCTCTTTCCATGGTACTTGCAGGAACCTTAGAACCTTCTCTTTCATTAGCTTCCAAACCTTGAACCATTCTGACATAACTCTAGTCTGAACCCAAGTTGGTCTATGAAGAGAAAAAAAGACTATCCGGGTCCAAGCATAAAGCCCAAACCTCCTATTCTTCCCTTGGAAACAAAGTTAACTCCAAAATGCTGCAATAACTGTTGTGACAGCTGGACACTGACAATGCCCCTGCGGAGGACCAGGTGGTCTTCCACACAACCCCTTCCCGCTCTAATTTCAGACTGGAGTGCCTAAGGTACCTCCTCTCCAAGCTGTGACCCTCACCTGTTCTCCCACAGGGCCATCAGGAACCAAATGCACAGGCTGTTCATTTTCCAAGTTCCGGGTACTTGGGTCTGCACCCTTTCTCATCAACAGGCGGACAGCATCCAACTGTGTAACCCGGTACTGCAGGCTGGCAGCAACGTGGAGGGCGGTGTTTCCATTGTAAGCCTAAAGACAAAGAAATGAAATAACACATGTCAGGAAGGGGGACTTTTATGAAAGGAACTCAAGCTTAAAGAAGGTATAAAAAAGGTCATTCCCAGTCTGGTATTGGTAAAACTTTCTAAAAGTACCTTTGCATTAACAAAAGACAGGCAACTGGGCAGCTCCAAAAAGAGGCGGATAAGTTCCAAATTTGCTTCTTCAGCTGCCAAATGCAGGGCTGTGCGGCCACTTTTACGATCCTTGTCAAAGGTAAGAAAGGATAAAAAATGAAAATTCAGATTTCATGCCTTACAATACACTTTTCACCCTGTCTTAGTCTGAATCAGCCTTAGAAACTTACTTTGAATGCTTCCTTCTCCACAAAGCCTTCCTGAACCCAAAACTAAATAGAATCTCTTATTCCTCTTAAATTCCCTATTAGTCTTCTTGGCTCTTATCACAGGCTACTCTTGTATACAGGGTGGCCATAAAATGAAAGACATAAAATAATACTCTTATTGTGTATGATATCAATGAGCCATTTATTATGTGCCCCTTGTGTCTTCAGGATTAGTGACCACTATGTAGAGCTATAAGCCATATCTCTCGTCTCATCTATTAGATAGGAAGCTCCCCTAGGGCCCAAATGGTTTATGATGAAGGCATCCCCCACCTTACACAGTGCTTTGGGGCATCAGAGATACTCAGTAAATGCACCCCAAATTTAAAAAGAATAAAATATTTTCCAGTTTAAAAAACAGGTTAGGGGCCGGGGTTTTAGCTCAGTGGTTTTGTTGCCTGCTGCACAAGCACAAGGACCAGAGTTCGATTCCCGGTACCAAAAACAAAAAAACAAAAAAAAAACCAGATTAAGTCCAAATCCTACAACAAAGGAATCCTTACAAAAATATCTATCAGCATATGAAAATCGAAGCCAAAGTGACATCAATTTTGAGCATTTTCTTTTCCTTTCAAACTAGTTTATTCATAGCTAAATGATCACTTTGTATAATAATTTATAAATTACAAGCAAATCAAAAAAGCAGATTAAAGGATCTTTTAAAATTTATATTTCTTAACTATCTGTACACTGCTACTTACTCTATTCAATTAAAAACAAGAAAAAAAGGTTTTTATCTGTACTTAGGACAAAGGTCTTTTACTACAAACTACCCTATCTATAACACCTTCTGTAAATTTACCTTTGCTTCCACTGATGCTCCCATTTGAATCAGACACTTAATGGTGTCAACCAGACTCTTATTCTTCAGTAAAAGCTCCTGAACTTCAGGTGAATGAGGCTGTTGATTTTTCTGGAGTTCATGCACTACAGCATTGTGGGCCACGACTGCACAATGGAGAGGAGTCAAGCCTGGGAGAAATGGATGATAAAGAAATGGTCATTATCCCATCAAGTCTTTTGGTCATTCTATAATAACAAATCTTGAGGATGATGGTCTCTCACTTTACCTATACATGGGCTCCACAAAAACTAGTAAGGCAATCTGAATATGCCCTCTATCAGGGTTGAGTGCTAATTTTATATACAGAACACTGTAGTTTTTTTTTAATTAAATAAGTTTATTGGTACATTTTAGGTATACATAATGAGCTTATCATAGGGAATTTGTACCTGTACATGCTATATCTTGATTTTCTTTTTCCCATTCCCCTAACTTCCCTTCAACTCCTCTTCCCCTCCTTATCTACAGAACCTTTGTGTCCATTTTTTTTCCTTCTTTCCTCATTTTATTTTTCTTTTCACTTCCTTCGTTTTCCCCTCTGCCCTCCCTAGTTCCCTTTCCCATTTGAACATTTTCTTCTTATTTCACAGTATGTATTATACATTTTGATTCTTATTTACACTTTTGGTTTCCTCACACCAGAGAAACAATATGGCATTTACACATATGTGTCAAATTTATTCCATTTAAAGAGTATGGTCTCAAGGTGCACCCATTTACCTAGAAATGTCTCAAGTCTATCCTTCTTTATAGCTGAGTACTATTCCATTGCATAAAAAAGAACACTGTAGTTTTTTTTTGTTTGGTAGTGGGGATGGAACTCGGGACCTTGCACTTGCAAGGTAGGTGCCGGAACCACTGAGCTAAATCCCCGGCCCAGAAGACTGTATTTTTAATCCCCTCCCTTCCTTCTTAATATGATACTTAATGCTCTAAGATCACATGGGCCTCACTTTCCTCATGGTATTTATCCAATTAAGCTGCAGTTGCTTACCATCATAGTTAGTTGCCTCAAGATCCACAAACTGATTGCTCCTCACTACTCCCTTTTGAATCGCCTGCAAAATTTTAAAACAGATAACCATCAGCTAAAGACAAGGTATACAGATACTTTTCTCCTAGTATCCCAAGAAATGAATACATCAACTCAAAACAGATTATTGCAACTCGCAGCTTCCAATATCCAAGCCCTGGTCTTGGGACCTGAATAAGAGGCTTCACTGCCTCTTACCTGAAGCACCTGGGAGTGTCCCTTCTCGGCACAAACATGCAGAGGTGTTCTTCCCCAGCAGTCTGTGGTGTTCACCTGGGCCCCAAGGTTTACCAGATCCTGCACGATGAGATGCTGATTGGCAGCCACTGCAACCTGAAAGGCACTCTGTGGATATTCAAAGAAAAAAAATATTTAAACATTATCATAACAAAGAATATGAAACTAAACTCCCCAGAGAAAATAAATCCTATTAATAAGCAATCCAATACTATATGACAAGGAAACTAAAATAAGCATAGGGAGTGGCTTACTTATACATGGTCTTTGATCAAATAACTACAAAGTTAACATTAATACCTTCAAGGTGGACAGTGGCAAAAAGTCAATATCTCAAAGTTAATATTAACCAAGTCTCTCTTGATCTTGAGCACTGACACAACCTACACATGACAGTGGGTATTATTCACTTCACCATAACCACACCTTTGCCATTTCAGACTCTCAAGATCCTCACCTGTCCATTGTGCTCTTTAATATCTAGCATGTGAAGTACATTCATCTTTCTTGCAAGAACATAGGAAAGTGCTCTTCTCCCTTGGGCAACAGCAATATGGAGAAAACTGAGGAACAAGGAAAAGAAGAGATAAATTACTTGGTTCACAAAGCTTCTTTTTAAAAATTCATCTGCAGCCCTTTTTTGATATATATTGGTGCACTCAAATGAAACTAGAGCATAATTTGTCTTTTTTGCTAGATTGATAATGTTTCTGAACTAGATGAGTTAGGCTAACAAATAAAAAGAGAAAAAAAATGCCAAACACCATGCTGTTCACTTTTTTTTGGTACTGGGGATCGAACACATGACCTTGAGCTTGCAAGGCAGGCACAATGCCCCTAAGCTACATCCCCAGCCCACTTTATTATTAATACTCATAAAAATTCTATCAGGGAGGTATTATCACTTACACGTAAAGAAATAAAGGCATACAGATTTTCAGTAATTTGTCCAAGGTCATAAAGACAGCAAGACAGATTAGGATTCAGTCTACAAATCAACTTACAGTTTAAGCCTAATCATAACCTAAATTATTTCTGCACTATAGACACAATCTTCTAAAAGCAATTTTTCAAAGACATATGTATTTCTATGAAATTAAAACAGGTAATATTTTTAGTCAAAAAAATAAAAGACCTTTTCTTGAAATATTAACTAGCACTGAGTAGCACTTCTACCTATACTAGTCAGCTTATTTAGCCAAATACTAAGCTGTAACTTGGTAGACTTGAAAAAGTCTGTGCCCACTAGGTTCAACATGTGTGACTCATTAACATGAGATAAAAGAATACTCACGTGTCACCATCTGCGTCCTTTGAAAGAAACTGGTCTTGAGAAATATTTGCCAACTTGCTTTCTTCTTGCTCTACTTGCCACTGAAAAAATGACTTCCCTAACTGAGTGGTGTTCATTGGACTTCCGATGATGTTCGGGAATGGCAGTGAAGTGCTTAAAGAGGTACAGCCTGTACTGTGTGCCCCCATGGACCCACAGGCACTGTCTGAGATCAGGTTGAAGTTCTGCAAGTGAGCATCATTCTGCTGCTGGACACTGAGGGAAGTCTGAATGGGAACAGCAATATTCTCAGATTCCCCATGACCACTTAGGAGAGATGTGAAACTTTGGTTTGGACAGAACTGTGGTTCTTGACTGTCAGAGAGATTTGGTTCACAGCTGGGGGACTGGGAAGTTGTAAAGTAAGGGCTATATTCCAGAGCTGGGTTGTGGGTGTACTGCTGCTGCTGCTCTATGTTCTGGCTCTGTGGAGAATACTGGTACATGGAGGCCTGGTCCATCACTTGTGCAGAGCTGCTGACTTGGAACACTTGATACTTCTGAGGTGAAGAGAAGACCTGCCCTCCATGGAAGTCTTGACACTGCTCTCGGGGGGAGCTCTGGGGTACCACAGAACTCATCCAGCTAACTTGGACTGTGTTCAGGGAAACTGAGCTGCATTCGTTCTTAATGTTTATAATGTTCTGAAGCAGATCAGCACTGCTGTCCGGTTTAGATTCATCGTGATTAACATCTTCCATGCTCTCGTCAGGCGTTGGTGTTTGAGGTGGTGTCTGGAAAGAAAGAAAATGCAACTTGCATACTTGACTTCCTTCTAAAATTATTCTAGGGGCTGGGGGAATGTAGCTCAGTGGTAGAGCACATGCTATATTGGTTCACTCCCTAGCACCAAAAATACAAAGAAAATTTTAAAATAATAAAATTATTCCAGAAATCACAGGAAAACAGTGAGATACTCACCAGAAACTGGGTATGCAACAGGGGTGGCCTTTTGCAAGCTGGTCCATCAGTTGAAAAATCAGGTCCTTTCCTTTTCCCACTGTATGATACTGGGTTCTTCAATTCTGTACCCAAGAAAGGGATATGAAATCTATGATCATTTTATTGTACAAATTTTACTCATAACAACACTAAATTATTTCACTCTAAAGTGCCAATAAAAAAATTTTGAATAGAAGTAACTCTTACCTGGGAATTGCTCAGTGTTCACACTTTGTGTCTATAAGAAAAAAATTTTCAATTTAGTGTATATAAAATGGCTTTCTACTTAAAATACACCAATAAAGACTCACTTCTGTCACCCTTTACAGTGCACCGTAAGTCTCTGATTTAGCTACTCTCAGTATCTATTTTCTATCTCACTTTGTACCTTTCTACACCTCCATTTTCACTTTTACCTCAGCTTAATTAGGGTCAAGATGAATGTTTCATTTTAATTGAACCCTATTTACTTCCTTGCCCCTAAATTGCTTTCATTTACTCATTCATTAAATTTTTCTTGAACAATTTCCAGGTGCCTGGCACTGGGCTAAGCGACAGGAACATAGCAAACAGCAAGACAAATATGGTCTATCCTATGCACTTTGTTTTCTATGAAGAACTGCAAGAAACTTATTGGACCTAGGTTAGCAGAGAATAATTCTGACAGATTTATCTCCTCCCAAACTTAACTCAAAATAAAAAATAAAAACATAGGTGCCACCTTAAAATCATCCACAGCTTGGCCAGAAACCTTCTGTTTATGACTTCGGATGTGCAGCAAGAGTTCCTTCACTGAGTTCTTCACACGAACACCTTGAAAGGGTCCTCTCTGTTGCCTGCCAACCCCCATATGGGGCTCCACTGTTCAAGAGAAAACAAAACATATCCCAGTTATGTCTCTTCGTAATAACTCCCAAAGCATGGCTGCCTAATGTTTAAAGTCCCTAAGCAACAGACTGCACAGCCTTTCCAACTTGCTCTAGTTAACAGTCTCTGTCAATACCAGCTCTACCCAACAGTGGTTGCCTGATAGCTTTCCCCACCAGGCACCCTCAGGAATTAAAGCTCAGCCTGGTCAGAGATTCCCCAAACCAACAGATAAACCCAAATTAAGTCTATGAGTCTCTCATAACTATCCACCCACAACGCAGGAGCAAAGATTTTGCCAATCAGAATCTTATACATTTATAAATTATTCATCTTACTTATAATTATTCTTGATTTCGGAAAAACCTTGGGGGGGGAGCAAGGTAAATGTGATACATTTCAAGCTTTTCAAATCAAAAGTTTTATGTTCACAAAGAAAATTTAAAGTCTATTAATTCCACTCACCTAAGAAGGCAAAAAACAACTTCCTCCAAATATCCCAATGTACCAAAGCCTAAGAATTAACATCTTACATTAATTTTCAGTATTTTACTTAATTCAACTGTGCCAAGAAGGCTACTTAAACTTAAAGTCACTGAGTTTAAACACTTTTCTACATAGGATTTCCCCTCATTCACTGTTTTTAGAATTGCTTCTATAGGCCTTCTAAATAAAAAGGAAGTATGTTTGTTTCACATTTAAACAGATACTTCACAATTTAGTATCTAAGTACACTACTCCTGACTATGACTATATTATGACCTCTTGGGATATGTGTTGAACTCACAGATTCAAAAACATCAAGCAATGAGTAATTTGGCCACTCTGCCAAAAGTGGAAAAAATTAAGATGAGACAAAAAAGTCCATTTGACCATATGTATCATATATCATATATAACACGTAGAAAAACAGCTCTATGACGGGCCAAATTAAATATTGGTCTTAGGTTTAAGTTTAGGGATTTCAACAGATACTTGAATTTCGAGAATCAAACATAATACTGCCCTGGAATGACAACAGTTAAAAATACAACACAGGGAGGAAAAAAAAAATGCAGTTTCAGGAACCCCCCGTCTGTGTGGTAAACCAAGAACTAGCAAAACAGTTTCTGCCAGAGATGAAGGCCAAAGACTTCAAAGGACCTCAGAAATAGTCTTTAATACACATACACACACTTTTTAGATTTGCTGGTTTTTTTGGTACCGGGGATCGAACTCCGGACCTTGCACTTGCCAGGCAAGCGGCGGAACCAATGAGCTAAATCCCTGGCAGATTTGCTGCATTCTTAACATACTGCACTGTTAAATGACTTTTTAGCTAATTTTTAAACTTATAAACTCACTTAAAACAACTTTTAAAAAACAACCAAAATAGAAGTGGTTAGCAATGGGGGGAACATAGGAAGAGATGATCTCTAAAAATCATGCCAAGAAGACTAGCCAACACTTGAGATTATCTAGGCGTTAAGTCTACCCATAACAGCATCCTGTTTTCGCCATAGTTATGCAACACGGCTCATTAAGAAAAGAAACCAACTCACAACCAAAGAAAGGAACCATTATAACTTCCTTGCCAGATACAGCTTATCCACGCTAGAGCACACACAGTAAAAACAAGACTGCAAACATCTGGGCATCCTTGAGAAACTCTCCACCATCACAAATTAAAAGGATAACTAGAGGTGTTTTTCAGACCAGCTTCTCTTTTCCATCTTGATAAGAGCTATTTCTTTCTTTAAAGTCCTTTTATTTAAAATTTTCATACTTTAGAAGAAATAAATCCTGACTTTAAACACAATTCCCAAAGCCTTACCCTCTATGCCATAGCTTTTCACTAAAAGAGCCACAAGAAACTTACAACTGCATTAAACCCAAAGCCTCATCGCAGTACTTTATCATTTTTATTACTGACAAAGGCTGGGAGGGGGACTCTCAAGCTAAGGTCCTGCCTTCCTCACCGAAGTCAGCGCTCTACTCTTACGGGTGCTTCCAGCTCCGAGGCCAGCCGGGTGGCGCCCCAATTTCGCCCACTGTTTCGTCACTTGGAGTGACGTCTGGCGCCCAGACCAGGGCAAGGCACCCAGCAGTCGCTTAATAAACGATGGCTAACGTTTCCCTCGCCAAGAACGGCGCAGGCCTTCCAGCCCGGTCTAGGAACTTCCCACTCGGCGAGCCCCACTCTCCCCAGCGCACACCCGGGTCGAAGCTACCTTGGAGGCGCTCGGCGCGGTGGCCGCCTCTGGGCCGGGACTCGACCGCCCCGCAGGAGGACGCGGAAGAGGCGGATAAGTCGGAGGAGTCGGATGCAGGCGAGCCGGGAGCCGAGGGCCCCGACGAAGCGCAGCCGGAGTCGCAGGCGCCCGGGGCGGCAGCGGCGGGCGGCGAGGCGCCGAAGAAGTAGGCGAGGTTGAGCGGGCTGGTCATGAGACCACAGTCGCCAGCCGCGTCCAGCAGCCCCTCTCCGGCGCAGCCGTCGTCCACGATCATGCTCCCAGGCTCGGCGCTCGGGGCCCGACACCTGCGTCGCCGGCTCGCGGCGCGGCTGGCTCCTCTGCGGCTGTGGCGGGCAGAGGGACGGCGGCGACTGTGGGATCTGGCTCGGGCTCGGGCGCGACCCGGGGCCGCCCGCCTATTTAACCCGTGGCCGCGCCCAGAGCCGCCCCCACTCGCCGCCGGGCCATTGGTGGCGCCCGGGTCGCCTCTCGGCCCCTCCTCCGTTTCCCGTAAAATGTCCAGGATGAAGCAATACGCCCTCCGCCCTCGCCCCGCCAGCCAGGCTCCTCCCAGACCGGCCGGTTGTTTTCCTGTCCTTCACCCGGAAACCCCGGCTGAGCGCAGCCTACTCCCCACCCAGATCCCGGCGGGAGATGCGGGCCAGCCCCGACCTCGGAGCGCCCGGGAAGTCGGCGGCGGCCGGGTCGAGGGCTCTGGGGCTTGGCGGGAGGTCGCGCTGGGGACGGCTCGGCCCGGCCCGGCCCGGATGGCGGGACCCGGGCGGTGTGCGCCCCGCCCGCCCCGGCGAGCTCCCCTGCCGGAGCCCAGGCGTCTCCTCCGGTAGCTCGGAGCAGTTCCCCTCCTCCAAGTGAAAACCGAGTGAGCATTTGCCTGCGTTCTTTTAGGAAAGGTGCCAGATCCAAAGGGATGGATGGTTAAGCATGTTTCTGTGCGAAGATTATCTGAGCCACCACAAATATTCTTTATTTGGTGCAGCTCCAGGAAAAAAATAAAAGCAATGCCCATATTTTTGAATCCTTCGATACTAGAATAAAGCCATGTTAGCAAAATGATAAACACCCATATATATATATGTATATATATATATATATATGTAAAGTTTTAAAATTCTGCATAGCTTTACGTTGTGCCTGATAAACACACGAATGTTGGTGTTTCCACTCTTGAATACTTTTTTCCAATGGGTTTATACAACTATTCAAGTTCAACTAGAAAAAAATAGCGTTTAGGTCAAAAATATAAATGATTAATTAAATCTGACCTTTCAAGTACATTATAACTGTTAGGAATGGTAAGTACACACATGCTACATTAACAGAAGCTGATTATGATTAAACATTACAAGGGATACAAAGTTCAGTGAGTGGCCTTAAGAGAGGCCTTACATGTCTGGTACAGAAGGGTGATCAAGAGGAAAGTTTACAAAGGAGGTGATATTTGAGATAGGCCTTAAAGGATGGCTGGGATTTCAGCTTGCAGCTTTATTGTTAGAGGGAACAGCATGAGCGAAGAATGAAGTCAGATAAGAGTTTAGGGACCCTTTAAAGGGTTGTCAAAGGGATGATGATGACATTAATTGTGAACTATAATTTGGTGCCTTCCGGTGAAGCACTTCTAAGGGCCAGCTGGAGCACTGGAATTTTACTTAATAAACATTGAGAAAACATGAGAGAATTTTAAGCAGGCAAAATTAATCTGGAAGCAGTTTAGAGAAGGTTGTACTAAGGGGCCTGGAAACTGGAAACCTAAGAACCACTGCAGTGGCCCAGGAGAAAACTGACCTTAACTGAAGCTGAAACAGTGGCAAAGGAGAAAGTAAATGAAAAGAAAGCAGCACTGGCAGCACTGCTAGAGTGGAATCCACATGTCGGCTTGGCTGGCACCGGGGAAAGAGTCACCAGCCCACGCACCCACACTGGTGCCATGACCAGGTGAACAGGGGCACCAGCTTCAGATCAAAAGAAAATCAGCAGAAGCAGAATGTTTGAGTCCCAGAAAGGGGAGGACTCAGTGAGCTTGGAATTGTTACTAAGTATTAATAGGTGGTATTGGACCAAGGTAAGATTCTTCCAAAGTATTTCCTTGTTCTCATGAATGTATTGCCCTGAAACTTCTTGCTGCCTCTCGATCCACCTAATGTTTTTAATAACATAAATAAATAAATAGGGAACAACAAATACAAGGCTTCAGTAATTGAAATTCCTCAGAAACCAAAATTACTTTAAAATGCTCCAAATGAGATGTTAGTATAATGTTTACTTTTCTATGTCAACTTGACTGGCTTACAGGATCCTCAGATTGCTGGTAAAACGTTGTCGTTTAGTGGTGTGTCTGTGAGTGTTTCTGGAAGAGATTAGCGTCTGAATCTAGACTAAAACAGATCCCTTCACCAATGATAGGCAAGCACTATCCAGAAAGAAACAAAAAGGCAGGAAAGAAACAAAAAGGCAGAGATGCTCTTCTTGAGCTAGGTTATTGATCTCCCACTGGAAATCTGACATCAGCACTCTTGATTCTTGGGCCTTCAGACTCCAATCAGGCTTAGGCCATCAGCTCCCCTGGTTCTCAAGTTTGGACTAAAATTACAACACTGGCTATTCTGGTTCTCCAGTTTGCACACTGCTGATGATAGGACTTCCTGGCCTTCATAATTTCATCAGCCAATCCTTCATAATATACATACAGAGGAATAGGTATTTGTTAACACTTTTATTTAAAATAGTTTGCTTCATTTAAATGTCAAAATATAAACTCAGTTTGGTCTGTTAGGCTAAATGATATGACACTGGCATTGTTCTAATCGAATATGATCAAATAATTACTCTGGGGGAAGCCACCAGGTCATAAGAACACTGTATAGACACTGCATAGGCCAATGGCCAACACCAACCTGCCAGCCTGTTGAATGAGCAACTTTGAAAGCAGAACCTCTAGCCCCCTATCAGGTCTTCAGATCATTCAGCCCTGGCCAACATCTGGACCATAGGTAACCTCATGAGAGACCTTGAACTGCAACACTCAAAGCCACTTCCAGATTCTCAAAAAATGAGATTTTGTCCTATGTCACCAGAGGTGATGAGAGATTAAAATTATCTAGCACTAGAGCCTCATCTTTTGCTCTAAAAGGGAAGATTAGATCTGGTCACGGTAGCTGGTGCCTATAAACCCAGCTATTGGAGACTGAGGCAGGAGGAATGCAAGTTTGGTGCCAGTCTAGGCAACTTAGCAAGACTGTCTCAAAATTATTAAAATTATTTTTTTTAAAGGCTTGGGAGAATGTAACTCAATGCAAGGCCCTGGGATCAATCCCAACACCATACACACATATAAATAGGGAGAATAGAAGACTTGTTTCTTTAAGGCTCAAATGTACTGTCTACATCTCAAAACACTGGGAAAAAAAATGACTTTAGAGAATTCAGTAACTCACAAAAAGGATAAATCTATTCCGAAGTGCCTAGAAGAAAGTGTTTAAAAGGAATAAAAATATGGCAGTGCTATCTTTCCCTTATCTTTCCCTAGCATTATAGATGTTAATAATTTACTTTATTGTGTTTTATACAATAGAACATTTTGATAGTTTTATGATCCCAGTTATGTTGTAACACCGTTTTGAAACCAATAATTCAGAGTTCTAAAAAAGATGGAATTTTTAAAATGTAATCGTAATAAACTTTTGAAAGCCAAAAAAATTATTTAGAACAGATTTTCACACTTGAAATGAAAATGCCAGTATAGGGCCAGGGATTTAGCTCAGTGGTTTTGCCGCCTGCTGTGCAAGCGCAAGGACCCAAGTTTGATCCTTGGTACCAAAAAAAAAAAAAAAAAAAAAGAAAATGCCAGTATTTTACAGAGTGAGTTATTCTTCTGCATTGGCTGAAGATGTGAACATCATACGTGAAAATCCAATAAAGCTTGGTAGCTTATTTTGCTGAAAACTTTCTAGATGAAAAGTCATCAAAAGAAATCTCAGCACTACCACTTTCCAATGATACAGTATCTCACTAACAAAGATTCAGGCAGGCATAGTGGCTCACACCTGTAACCCCAGCACTATGAGGCTGAAGTAGGAGGATCCTAAGTTTGAGCTCAGTTTAGGCAATTCAACAACTTACTGAGACCTTAGCAAGACCCTGTCTGAAAATAAAAAAGGGGTTGGAATGTAGCTCAGACAGCCCTTGGTTGAATCCTCAGCTTCACAAAAATAAATAAATAAAATCAATTGAAGAATTCACTGTAAACTGATCCTGTCTGCAGAATTACACTTTGGCCTTGAGAACAAATCTACAGACTGTACAAACATATTTACCTGGTATCAGTACCAGCTAATTATCAAATATCTTGTGTATGAGTGCTTGAGAGCAAACACAAATGGTCCTGAAACATTCAAAGTATACACTCACTTACTAAAATCTCATCATTTATCCTAGAATGATGTGTTGACATTTGTGAAGAAAGTACAAAAGCAATGGTTGGTAAAACTGCTAGTGCCTTAAAACAAATCAAAACAGGCAACAAAATGCGGTAATAATCACTATACTATTCAACCCCACCTACTTAAGGAAATTTTAAAAAAATTTTAAAAAACAGTTTTAATTAAGGAAGTCTTAGATGAGCCAATAATATCCATTCATTTTATTAAATCTTGACCTTTGATCTTTTTAATATTCTATATAACAAAATGGGAAATACATATAGAAGTCTGTGTTGTGTCCTGAAGTATGACTGTCTCAAGAAAAAGCACTTATCTATTAGACTGAACATATGAGTCAGCCATTTGTTCTAATCAAACATTAAACTGAGCAGAACTAACCACTGATTGTCATCCAACACAGACTGTGGTATTTGTCAGATTTTTTTTTTTTTTTTTTTGAGTAAAGTAAGCCTGTTAGGTCAAGGAAAAAAACTATTAATATTCATTATCAGAGCCCAGCATGGTGGTGCAAGCATGTAATCCCAGCATTTAGGAGGCTGAGGCAGGAAAATCGCTGTGAGTTTGAGGCCACATATTGAGTTGCATAGTGGTTCAAGGCCAGGCTGAACTACATAGTGAGACCCTGTCTCCCCCCAAAAACTCATTGTCAGTGATAAAATTCAAATGTTCAAGTAAAAAAATTAAATTTTGGGAGACTTCTGTCAGATACTCTGTGCTTGATAGCTTCCCAATACTTGAAGGCTTTTTTGAAGAAGCCAGTGCTGATGTTGTTCACAAATGTGATTGTTTGATAGTATATAATGAAATCTGGCATCATTTGGAAAATTTATATAACTCAGTTACTTAACATTTTCCAAAAGAAGAATGCAAGGGCTGGGCGTGGTGGTTCACACTTGTAATCCCAGCACTCAGGAGGTTGAGACAGGAGGATAAGTGTGAATTCAAGGCCAGCCTGCACTACATAGCAAGACCCTGTCTCCAAAAACAACAACAGGGCCGGGGATTATAGCTCAGTGGTTCCAGTGCCTGCCGGGCAAGCACAAGGTCCGGATTTTGACCCCCGGTACCAAAAAACAAAACAAAACAGAAAAAAGGCCTTACAAAATCACACATAAGTAAAAGGTCCAATTTAAGTGCAAGAGACTAATGGATTTTTAATGGATCAGAATATGAAAAGATCAATGACGTGTTTTCAGATTCTACACTACATCTATCCTTTAAATGACTACAACTTGTGTTAGGATACAGTGGCCCCCATCCCCAAACTCCCTACATCTGCAGTTTCACTTTCTGCAGGTTTAGTTATCAACAAACCTCACTCTGAAAATACTACTTGGAAAATTCCAGACATAAAAAATTCATAAGCTTTAAATTGCATACTATTCTGAGTACAATAGTATGTGAAATCTCAACCAGCCCTCCCATCCTGGATATGAATCATCCTCTTACCCACTGTAACCACACAGTACATGGCATCACTAACCATCTGGGTTATCATTTTGACTGTTAACCTTTACGTAACTGTCTAGCACTGTGTCCCAAGGCCCATGTCATCCCCCTCACTTCATCTCATCACACTGCATCAGTTAAATGTTAAAAGTGTTAAATGTTGGCCGGGGATTTAGCTCAATGGTTCCGGTGCCAGCCTTACAAGTGCAAGGTCCAGAGTTCGATGCCGGTACCAAAAAAAAAGTGTTAAATGTTATGTGCTAAATGGCACTGCATCATTTAACATCATCACAAAAAGAGTTAATACAGATCAATAAGATATTTCAAAACACAGACCACATTCATATAACTTATCTTACATACATTATTATAATTGCTCTGTTATTATGTATTATTAATCTCTTACTGCACTTCATAATAAATTAAATGTTACTATAGGTATGTGTGCACAGGAAAAACATAGTATATATAGGATTCTAGACTACCTTGTAGCTTCATGCACCCACTTGAGGTCTCAGAATGTATCCCCCAAAGATAAGGGGAGGTTACTGTAGTAATCTTAAAGAAAAATAGCCAAATTATCTGAAAAGACTATTAAAATATTTCCTCCTTTCCAACTACTTATCTGTATAAAGCAGGATTATTTTCAGATACGTTACCAAAACAACATCTTCCAACAAGTAAAATGTAGAAGCAGATATGAATATCTTCTGTAAAGCCAGACATTAAGAGATTTGCAAAAATGCAAAATAATGCTGTTTTCCTTACTAAATGCTTTATCTTCTGGTTTAATAAATATAAGGTTTCTAAATAATAGTAAATATTTTAATAGTTTTTAATGATAGAATTGAGGCAATGACATATTGTTCACCTCAACAGTACCAGACCAGACTAATAATTGTTAGACATTTGATTCTGGAAACTTCCTCTCTTCCTCATCTCTATTTCCACTGCCCAAGACAAAAGAAAAGGTTACATTTGAAAGACAGGTGGAACTGAACCTTCTTTCTCATTAGTATACAAACAGGGTATGGTACTTGTAAATGTTCAGTATACAGCTGCCTAAAAAACAGGCTGATTGGAATGATCTATATGATGATTGTTTTCCAAAACTTTATATTCATCAAACAAAAAACCCAAAACTTTCCTATTAATAATTTCCTTTTTCCTCCGG